CAAAATGTAAACGTGGTATAATTTGGATCACAAAAAAAAAAAGAAACTATCTTATAAGTGCTTATATTGGCATATATCCAGAAACAGAACACATTAAAGTATCATAAGAGCTGTACACGTACAGAAATATCATCTTAGCTAATACCATTTAGTGTAGTTTTGGACTAAAAAACTCAATGATCCAAGAAGTAGGGTTCTTAATAGCTTTACTTTACGGAATGCGTAGACGATAATTTAATATATACTTGGGGTGGGTCTTTTCTCATAACTAAACTGATTCAGTGGTGATAAGATATGAGGTATGGTCTTCCATCTCCCATAGCACCTTGAATCACCTGTGTTTCCGAGAGAGGAAACTCTTGAAAGTTTTAAGCCAATGAATAAACTATATTTTGAGATTAAAATCAAACAACAAGTGGATCATTTATGAATAACCGATGTTCCAAGAAAGCAAATCTACAAATATCTAAAGAGTGTAATAACTAAGAAACAAAAATGCTCACTTTCTGAGTTCAAAATCAAACGACAAGTGGGTCATTTATGGATGTTGTTTTTTTGCCAAGTATGTATACACTCCTACTGTGCATTATTTGATGTGAACCTTTTTAGGTTGTACATGAACACTGAAAACAAGCAATGAAACAGTTTGGTCTACGTTATCATCCTTATTTAGTTTCAGTACAGTAATCTATTTGCCCATCCCATACCTGGATTCTTACCAAACAAAGTAACTAATTGATCATTTGAAACACAAGTGAATCGTTATTCATGGGCTCCCATAAAGAGAGCATATAATTTCACCACCACCACCAACAACAAAAAAGTTACATTTTATTGAGAATTAGAAAATCACAGCAAGAGTTAGACAGCTGTAAATCTTTGGTTCCTCCCAATATTCAGTAATTCAAACACCAAAGAAGAGTAAACATTTTGAATATCCACCAAAACAAAGTGATTATATAACAAATTAGCAACCAAGAATCCACATTAGAAAATCTCTATGACCAAGAAAAACACAGTTGCCTAACTTAAAGGAGATGGACCCAACAAACCAAGAAAAAAATAAGGTAGGTAAGCAATGTTGACCTTTATTTTCACAAGAGCACCTACAAAAAAGAAACACACAAAAATGTGTATGATTGTACGGGCAAATCTATACAGCAAGATAACTTTGATATGGTGTGTTTATGACAGAGAATCCCGAGGTAAAAGCTCTGCCCCCACTTTCCTTGAAGAATTCTTCTTCTACAAAGAGAATATATGGCTTTTGGTGAACACATGAAAAGCTCCACTTTTTGTTTTGTGGATACAAATCAATCCTCAAAAATGTTTCAGATTTTACAAAGATATTTTTTGTGAGAAGAAATCTGTTAACAGAGACTTCTCCCTAACTTTAATCCTAAGACAAGTAATTTTTCCTTGTCTTACAGGGATCGCGAGCTTTGTGCTGTGACTTGTGACCAGACTGTTTCCAGTAAATAGATGACTAAAGTATCAAAGGTAGAGAGA